AGTCCAAAAGAGCACAATTGGCCTTACTCTCCTGGCTGTCCATCACTCAGCATGATGCTAGTCAGCACAGGCATCTGTTAGCTGATGTAACGGAACTGGCGGTTAGCGTTCTCCTCCCGAGCGCATTCAGCTGTCCGTTAGTGGCGGTTCGAAAAGATAAGATGGCGCTTCACAGGACTCGGAGGAAGCCTGTGTTTGCTTTCACCCTCCTAGCGCTGGTGGTATCGCGTGAGCCCAAACTAGAGGGTGGAATTGGATACGACTAAATTGGGGAAAAAAACAAAAAACAAAAAAATAAATAAAAATCTCAGTCTTATTACATACGAAGGCTTATTATTCAGTAACTACAGGGACTTCAGTGCAAACTGATTGAGCTGTTCTTAGATTATAGAAGTGTGTAATAAGACTTTGGGCCTGCTGGAGGACTCTGGCCAATTAAAGGGTTAAATGAAGTTACGTGATTAATTACATGATGACATTTACATTCGATTTTCTAACAGTGATAACTTTTCATCGATTTCAGATCATAATACAATATCTCCTCTTCCACTTACAAACACTATTGAGCGTTTAGAATCTGCACTTTCCACACAGTGTCTACACTTGTTTCCGTGAGCTTCGAGTCAGAAATCGTCCTTATACACTTAGGCTTTTGTTATCACCAGTGATAATTGGGAATTCTAAGGGATGTGACTGTGTTAGCTTCACCCACTCAGTTTGGTTGGTTGAAAAGTGTTCTTATATCTGAGAACAGCACATTTTTCACCACTCCACTATATCATTTCTCTGCCTACCGGTTAAGCAGCAACGATGGTCAAAGCTGCTGGAACTACTTTTTAAATTGCCAGTGTTAAAAACATACATTTGAAATAATAATCATAGCTTTGTTGCTTTGCTTTTTTCATTACTTTGTAAAACTAAAAGATCAATGAAGGAGGTGTGTTAAAGTGAATAAAATCATGTTTTTGCCTTGTTTACATTTACTCTGAATGAATATAATCAAATTGAATGGGTTGTCCCTATCACTCTGTTGTCTCTCTGAATGTAGTGACTCTGTGTTGAGCTGCTAGTGAGCAATGAGGGGTGAAAAGGGGAGGGGTGGGAACCCCTTGCTGTAAAAAACTATCCCCAAAAACAGGGACAAACCATACAACTGCAGCTTTCTTCATATCAAACAAACCTGTACAGCTGACACAGCAATAAACAATAACAGCACTTACAAGGTTTGCCTCTTTTATGGCTTCTAACCTGAGGCAGAGCAGTGCTGCATAGTTAGTAAAGAATACCAAAGACAGGAGCTCACAGATTGTGAAGTAGGGTAAATAATGAGCTTCCTTAAATCTGTGTTTGAGCGTCTGTTTACTTTCAGGAACCCCCCAGAATTTTGACGTTAACACATTCAGAGGGGCCAAGAGATTAATTAGGTGTACAGACCCAGACATCTCTAAGAGCTGCCTCTCATTGGACTAAACAGCCACACTGCCTCATACCTGAGCCTTTGTTTTATGACAGTTTGCAAGTTTGCAGTGTTGTAAGGCAAAAAGAAAACTGTTTTTCTCCTTGTTTTGCAGAGTGAATAAATTATCTCTATTTGTGTTGTAGACATGACGACTCCAGGGACCGTATTACAAAAACATCTTAACTCTAAAATCCTACTCTAAAATCTTTTCTGCTTAGTCACCATGACGACTTCAGTACGGACTGAATTTCAGACAGTAGCTATTCCAGAATAATAGTTCCTAACTTCATAATCTCATCATGAACTCCAGATAAGAAAACAGCATCACACAAACATCCTAACTAGACTGAACCTCCTAAATCCTGTCCTAACTTTAGGATGAACCCCAACAGGGTCCTCACTTCTGTTTAAGGTCCGTTTCTATGGTTTTTAGGCAGCTGAGTCAGCAGCATAGTTCACTACCAGCATAATGAGCTCCATTTATTTCTACTGTAAAACGCTGCTTTCACTGTGAGATGATTTTCTTTTCTAACTCTGCGTTTTAAAGATCTCAGACGCTGCAGACTCGATCTCCACCGCCCCTCTGATCACCTTCGTGTGTTAATGTTGATGATGAAATATTACAGTGATGGTGGTGAATAATGAGGAGACGGAGCTGAACGTGTGTCTGTTTATGAGGAGGAGTAACGTTAGCGCGCTCGGCTAAAGCGTTTGGGAAATGGAGACTGAAACTGGGGAGTGCTGACGCTCTGATAAACAGCAGGGGGCACTCTCACAGGATTCACTACACACAGTTTATCACACTTTACCTTTGTTGCAGCTGTAACACATTTTTACCATTGTTTTGATTACGTGTTTTATGTTTCAGCTGTGCGCCAATCATCGGTTGCTAGGCAACAGACATGACAGTTGATTGTCAGCTTTGATCGAGTAGGTTAGATTTCCTAACTGGAGATAAGATGCCTGTCAGAATCTAAAGATGCCATTTCACACCAAACCACTCTGAATGACTCTGTTTACATGTCACCCTCTGAATTATGCACAAATTTTGAAACATTGGTGGAATTCCCCTTCAAGAGTCCTTTACATTATGTGGAGGTTCTACAAACCTCAATGAGGTTTACTCTCACACATCTCATCCCTGGTTCTCTGAAGAACCAGCCACTGAACGGTTCTTTAGGGAACCAAAAGTGGTTCTTCTACAGAACGCTCCCTCTCTGGCACCTTTGAGGTGAGAGTGCAGGTGTGTGAGGGAGCTGTGGCTGTTTTGAATCCGCTGACCAAACTGAGTTTGATAACTTCGGACGGTAACAGTCAGCGCTGCTACCATGCAAACACTATTCACAGACATGAAGGGTCAGAGGTCACGCTAACCAAAGATAAGCGCTTCCTGTGGTCTGTCAAACGTCCCGACCCCCAGACTGACCTTTTGTCTCGGCATACACTCACACTCACACACACACATTCACCGATGCCTGCTGAAAGTCGGGGGCTGACCTTTCTAGCCTGACATTTAACGTTTCATTTTATAATTATGCTGTGAAATTAAGATGAGTTTACAGCTAATTAGTCCGCTTAAGGAAGATATTAGAGGATCAGGAGAGGAACAGAACTGAGAGACCGTCTGACGTGTTAAAGCTCTCCAAAGTGTAAAGAGTAGAGCTGCTAATTGGTTTCAGTGTTGCGCTGTTAACAGACATGGTTAATAGAAAACTTCCTTTTCATTTCCGTGCTTCATTCTTTCTTCCATTACCTTTATTTAACTGCATCCATCCATCAAGGACGTATCTTTTACATATTAATAGCCTATAAATAGAGCTAAATTGGCTGTATAAACATTCTGTATCCTCAACATGCACAGTTTACAGGCATTACAGCCTCACAGGCATTACAGCCTAAGGCCAGAAACAGACTCAACGCAGGTATGTGAACACAAATGCCAACGCTTGGCCAACACATTGCAAATGCATGGCACTTCTTGGGGTGTCTACCCGCTAGAAGCTGAATGTATTTCAGCTAGGATGCTGCGTCAGCTCTGTCGGACTAGAAACGTGCCTGTATGCAGTGAAAAGACGCTTCGTTGAGTGTCGAAAAAATCCAAACCAGTTTAACTTTTGCTGCGACGGATTCTGACATGGAGGCACGTCAACCAATAGAAACATGCAGGCAGAAGATGGATGAAAGATGACGGACAGTAGCGACGCTGTGCACTCTTTTCCTGTTCTATATGGCTTCTTTGCCTGTGTGGCTGTTGTCCGCTCGGCTCTGTATCTGGCCATCACCAAAATTTTCTTACGATGCTCCATATTTCTTTGTTTCTGGTCCAAATGTTTTGTTTCCTGATGGACTTCGAACTGTACAAACTCCGCCCCACTCCAGCCGTGTACCCGCCTTCTAGACGGACAAGATTTGCATGCGTCTGCGTATACAGCACCGTCCTTGCGTTGTCTAGTGTGTAGGCAACCTTACATGTGGTGGTTAAAACAATCAGTACTAAAGGGGGCGCTAGAGGACAAATCAGGGAGGATATACTGTTTTTCCAACAGCCTCAACAGCTGAACAGTAGAGGAGAGTGAGCTGCTTTACTTCTTCTGCTGGAACGGAAAGGCGATAATGGATCATATTTTTTATGATTATGTAAGCTGTCTTCGCATGAGACTCAACTGCTCGTCTGCTATGGCAGTTGAGAAGCATGCTGGCGGTACAGGACCTTGGCAGTTGTTATAGTGCCCCCTGCTGTATGGCTCAGATTGCAGCTCACACTTGCTTTGCGTTCTGAAAAGCATAGTGACACATTTTTGAACACAACTACATGTGAAACCCATCTGCATAGCTTGAACCGTCTGTATTCACATCCTTGTGGTGAAGTTTTGAGTGATGTTTCAGGCCCAAAAGTAGCCTTTAAATATGTTGTAATGTTACACTCTCAGAAATAAAGGTACTAAACTGTCACTGGGTCAGTTCCCCTCTTGTCGCTGGGGTGGAACCCATCAAGGCTCCATCTCAGTACCTTTAGTCAGGGAACATAACTGAACCATAATCCACTGAAATGATATGTTCTAAGCTGTACTGACTCCACACACCCCGTCTCGTCTCCAGGCTTTTATTTTACTGTTCTGTTTAAAACATTCGGTTATGAAAAGGTACAAATACGAACTTTTCACCTGGAAAAACTTAGTTAAGGTTCACAATCAGACCTTAAAACCACTGTTGGACCTTTGAGGGAACATTTACACTGTTTGTACCTTGATGAACAAAAATGTACCTGAACAGAACCTTTATTAATAACAGTGTATGTAATATTTCATAATGCAGCGTTGCCTCAGTTTGACAGAATTCCCAATTTTGTATCCTTTTTTTCGTCCATCCATGTTCTCTCACTACAATAAGTCCACAACAGATGAGTTAAATGAGAACGCACACAATGAGAACACTAAACGGTGTCGCTTTAGCATGAAAGTCATGGATGTACAGTGTGTGTCTGAGGCAGGGTGAAGACGGGAGGTGTTAATTTCTCTCCTCTCTCTGTTGTAACACACAGGAAGGTGCTGAAGGAAATCCCGGTGGGGGATCTGAAGCCCGACGAGACGGTGAAGGCCACGCAGGAGGCTCAGCTCCTCTCCCAGCTCCACCACCCAGCCATCCTCAAGTTCTACACCAGCTTCCTGGAGAGAGACGCCTTCTGTATCATCACAGAGTACTGTGAGGTACCTTTTATGCTCCCCTAAATCTGGAGAAGAGGCCCTGTTTGGTGTGAAAATTGATCAAAAGTTAGAAAAATCCGGAAACCAAATCTGCTGAAGTTCTAGGAAGTGCTGCCTGTTATTCCATATGGAAAAAACATACATGGACATGTATTTTTATATATTTGAAATACATTTCAATTAGGGGTGTAACGGATCATTTCAGGGATCAGATCATTTCACGGTTTTTGAGTGAAGAACATTAAGAAGACTTCAAGCCTGGAACGTTTGCCCGTAGTCTTAAATGAGAATAACATGTTTAATGTTTAAATAAAATCATCAAAATAAAATAATCAATACTCATCTGTTAAATTGAAGTGCAGTATGAGGCCTGATGATAAGCTTTTTTCCAAAGTGAATGAAAAAATATCAAATATCTTCAAAAACATCAAAAATGTGACATCATCATGAACATCCTGAAAAAGGTACAAAAAGAAATAAAGCAGACCTGAGCTTATAACGTCAGACTCTTTTTCAAAAAGATAAGTGTATCCGTAGCCGGGAGTCCAAGAGAGCACAACTGGCCTTGCTCTCTCTGGGTGGGTAGGATGGCTCCCATTACTCAGCGCGCTGCTAGTCAGCGCAGGCGTCTGTTAGCTGACGTAACAGATCTGGCGGTTGGCGCTTTCCTCCGAGCGCGTTCGGCTGTCCAGTGACGTTGCGTGAGCAGCAGTTCGAAAAGATACAGTGGCGCTTCACAGGTCTCGGAGGAAGCCTGTGTTAGCCTTCGCCCTCCTAGCGCTGGTGGTATCGTGTGATTGGGGGAGTCCTAACTAGCGGGTGGAATTGGAGACAACTAAATTGGGGAGAAAATTGGGTAAAAATCCAAAAAATAAATCAATTTTTTGAAAAAAGATGAGTGTCTGCATCGTCTGAGGAGAGAACAGACCTCTTTTCCATCACTGTGTCCACTGCTGTGGATGCTTTTGTCCGCCACCCTTTCTCCACCATCAGTATATGTTACAGGGAAGCCGAAATGCTCCCAGACATGTGATTTAAACGATGGAAGAGGCTTTTCAAGTTCTTCCTCTGACTACTGTCACTGCTGACTGCTTGGAACATGCTTTGTTCACGTGACACACCGGCTTTGTCTGTCTTTCCACTGCAGTTCCGCATCGAGATTTAGACAATTATCACTTCAACTACATAATAGTTTAGTGCCAATAACCAAGCAATATATCGCTGCTGTCGGGGTTTTCTTCCTCGAGGTTCTCTTCAGACGGTAGCAATATGATTAGATATTTTCAAATGAATTTGTATTCCGGTATCTTAATTTTAAATATGATCAAATGAACCTTTGACATGAAAAGCGAGTGTTGTAGGTACCGATACTCTGAAAATGCAGTTATGATTTGATATCTTGTTTATTTGACATACATTGTGTGTGAGTGTCTTACTGTATATGTACATGGTTAATGCATGGTATTTACAGTTTGCACCTTTAAGACTAACTGAAACTAAACTGAACTCAAAACTGAAATGAAAATCTAAATGTAACTATAAAAGTAAAGACTGATGAACATTTCAAAAAATATTTACCCTGGTCTGGACTGTCTGGACTAGTCTGGCTGATTAAGTCTGCTTGGGTTGGATTTTCTGGACCAGACTGGCCTGCTCTGCTCTGGACTTGTCTAATTTGGTCTAATCTAGTCTGCATTGAGTGTGACGTCTGGTCTGAGTTGGGGTTTCTGGTCTGGTCAGGTCTGTTTTTGGGTTCTTTCTCTCTATTTTTTTACACACTGTCCTGTGTGCTGCTGCTGAGGGATCAGAGGGACATTGGCTAATGATGGTGGGGTGACCCCCACAGCGCTCCCACAGGTCACTCTCATCTCCTCTGAAGCCGCAGTGTCAGTCTCATCACTTCTCGGGCTAAGACTCGGCTAATCCGGGTCACGCTGCTCTCATCGTTTCTCCTGTTTCACTGCTGTTCGTCTCAGAAAGCAGTTTTTGGGCATGGTTCTAAAGTTCTCCCCCTTTTTAAAGTTAGCATCATTTTGGTGCTTTGAAACAGAGACACGGTACCATTTGCCCGCGTTTGTAACCACGGCCGGTGTTTCATTGAAGTCCTGTGTCCATTTTGACCTGTAGCATCAAAGGGTCAGTGATTTTTCATTTGAAGAAAGGTTTCTATGGCAACAGGAGGGAAACCATGGCATTATTGCAGCAGATGCGAGCACCTTTGGAGATGTTTTTGTTGTTGGGTACTAGACGTCCCCCTGTACTGATGAAAGAAAACAAAATGAGATGGATGGATTGATTTCAAGAGGATATTTAGGAAAAATATCCTTAAGAGTCTGAAAAATGCCGAAATGTGGCATTCAGTGGTGCTGGATTCGGACATAGCAGAGATCAAAAAACAGGGAAGCAATGTAATAATAGGGCAAATCATACTGTGGCCAAAAAACATCTTTTTTTCCAAGGTTGTAATTGTAAATTAAAGCAATACACCACAAGAAGCCATGCGTGCCGTGCCTAAGAACTCCCTTCTCCGTGATAAAATCGCAGGCCAACTTAAAATATGATAAAATACACTAATTTTCAGAAAATAATTTAAGTTGTTATTAATAATAATCACATAAACAAGTATCCCGACAAGAAATGTAGTTCCTTTAGAGTATGGTGTCGTTACGAAGCAACCATGGACCACTGAATGAGGAGAACGTTTGGTCACCCATTGCCGTATATTGCGGTCATTTCAAAAACTTTTTAATTTTTTATTGTATAACAGTGAATATATGATATCACAGCACTGTTTAATGCAAAACCCTTTGTTTTATAAGTACTTTTAGGTCACCAAATTACCACCAAGTCTTATATAGCTCTAATCCAGCAGCACCCGCTTCTCACGTTGGGGCTGAATCTCAAACGGCTCCCTGCTCCCTACATAGTGCACTACGTAGGAGTTTAAATACTGGATCCTGCAGCCCAACAGAGCAAAATACAGCTAAGAAACAGTCATTTGGGATTCAGACTCATCCACACTCGACACATGATGCACTGTTTGGCTGTAGAGGCTAGAATTTCTAAACTTTCATAGCTAGAACACTATTTAGGGAGTACAGAGCCGTTTGGGATTCAGCCTGGGTTTGACGCGACTTCTGACTGAAACACAAACATTTGAAGTGTGTCATTCAAGTGACGTTTTTAGACTTTTATACTGCAGTTTTACAGTTAATCAAACTGTAAGTACTTTAATTCAGGCCTGTGATATTAATGATGGAGCTGTTTAGGCTGTTGGCTCTTTTAGCCTGTCAGCTAACTGACCAGCTTAGTTCTAGTGAAGAACTTAAGCTGTCAGCCCCTCAGTTTAAACAGAAAATGGGTTCTTACTTCATCAGTACACTCGGTGCTCCATGTGAGCAGCATATTATTCCATTAACAGCACTAAGGTTTTTTTCGTGCAGTGATACACAGTTCAGTTGTGAGGTGGTCATAGAAGTGCGTATATTGTGGATTTTACAATAGCTTTGAACGCGGCTCAGCCAAATTTTCAAATCGGAGCAGTCCATTTCATATAGAGATATTATTTGTGCTAGTTATGTAGCACAATGATATAACAGTAATAGTAATTAGATAATATACAAAAGGTGCTGAGCTTTATGTAGAAATGGCGTTAGCGTGAGCTTTATGTGCAGTAGGCAAAATGTTTACATCTTTTCATGTCCTATATTGGTGATAATGATACAAGAGGAAAGAGACTTACAAAAAAATATATATATCTATTCTATATAATTTGAACAGACTTTTTCCATTTCAGCATTACACAGTATTCTATCCATACTTCCAAGCATGAATTACACGCTAGAAGGTGGAAACTACATAATAATGTTTAGTTTTAGTATTGATTTATGAACGTAGCTACACATTAATAAAGTTGTCAGCTAATGTTAGCATCCTTAAATCTAGAGAGACAAGCTAGCGCGATGTTAGCTAGCATCTCCAGATCTGGTAACTTTCAATTTTTCTAGCATTGTTGTGATGTTTGATAAGAGTTTAATCTGTGTTAGCACTGCTGCTGTTTCTCAGAAATGCTAATGTTTTGCCAAACAGAATTTAATGTGCATGGTAGCATTAGCTAGCATTAGCTGACAGTGGCTAGTTAGCCACAGTGATAAATATTGAACATTTCTTATTAAAGCGGTCGAGTGAGAGAGATCAAACATGATTGGTTGCTGTATATATGAAGGCAAATACACTGACATAATGAAGTTATTTTACAGTGTGCAGTGTTTTAAATATTTGAATTGACTGACAGAAATGGGCAAAAATGACAAAATCCTTCTTTAGTAGTCGATTTGTAGTTGTAGTGTAACAATACAATGTATCGCATCGCAATCTATCGCATTGTATCACATCTTATCACAACGTATAGTAACGCATTGTTGCATCTTTGCAAAGATGGAGACACGATCGAGGCCATGATTTCTGCTATGAGAAGTATTTTTTATTAGCACCAGCAGAAAAGTCACAACAAAAACATAACTCTGTACTCTACAGTGGATAACCACCCCCACTACCTCAGTCCCTGATCTGGACTGTGTCCTTGACCTGAACGCTGCACTCTCCACAGCTCTCAAGTCTGGTGCTGTTGGGGACAGCGACAGCATCAACAGCATTTCTCTCAGCTGAAATCATGGCCTTTTCAGTGTGTCCTCCTTCGCCAAGCAAAGAAACTTGGTGTCAGAAGTGGGATAGTGCTCCCCTGCGACAGGGAGTGGAATGGTGCTTCAAGAACTTCAAGGTGGATGGCGTAGAAGGCAAAGCCTGATGAAAGATTGCGACAGTGGACGCAGCGCAGTGAGGCTCGAAGGTGGGGACTGCACAGCCAGGCTTGGTGACAGTGAAAGAAAAGCTGGCAAAAGAGAAGCCATGGAGCACGTGGCAGTCTCCACAGTTTCGTCACACATTAGAACATAGTACATTGTAACATGCTGGAACATATGTATTGTGTGTATTGCATGTGT